TGGTTTTGCCTTTAAATACATTTTTTAATTCAACATAATTATTGTTAAACACAAGTTTAATGAAATCAAACTGAATGTTTTGTTTAGAGTCCCAAAGGTATGAAAATCAAATCTTAAGAAGATTTTTCTTTTAAGTTCTCTAAAATGTACACACAGAAAACACAATTAGATCTCTTCTCTAGTCAGGAATTCAAAAGTAGTTCTATACATTATAATCTTTGTCAGTCAATATTCAAGCAATGCCATTTTTTTCCCCCTCTGGTTTACAGCAACTCTTTGAATGATAATCACACATTGAATTTCACCCTCATGGAAAATTCCTGACTAAAGTGTTTCTCTCTTCCATTTGGCTGATGCATTTATCCAAGGCGCATGCTTAATTAATCAGCAATATTGTTACAAAAATGTGTCTGAAAATAACACATTTTTTTGTAACTTAGTTATAGTTGAAGTCCTGTATTTTTTTTGTAATCCAATTATTAGTGTTACTCTGTTCTGTTCTGCCATCTATTTATGTTTGATTAATAAATAACATACAATGTTAAAAAGACTGTTAAATCATGAGTTGTTTTAAAAGTTAGCTGCAGTTTTTTAATTGGCTGAAAAGTGCTACTGGGATGCAAGCTCGTTGTACGTAGCTATACAAGTATCATATGTAGCATCAAATGCATGTACATAAACAGCATGCATTTTTGTTATTTAAAATATAAAAACATGATTACTGTTCCAATATATTCTTACTGCATGTGAATGTTTTATTTCATCTACATAAAGTATTTATAGAGTAAAAGGATTTTCAACCAAATATAGTAGTTATGGTAACGTCATTAAAAATAATGCAACTTAGTACTATTGAAGGTCAAAATCAACCCTTTGTTACAGCCTTAAACACCATTAATATAAACATATATTATGGTTGTAATTTCTACAGTAAGGGTTTGTTTAGCCTAATAATTTCCATAGAAGAATCTATGGTTTTGCCTTTAAATACATTTTTTAATTCAACATAATTATTGTTAAACACAAGTTTAATGAAATCAAACTGAAGCACAAACTTCTTCATATAATGGGTACCAAATGATAAAAAAAAAATTCTTAATGGATAAAAATGCAACTAATACTATATGCTTGTTAATCATAAAAAATACAATACATTTAATAAATACTTGTATTAGTAATTATTGGGAAAAATAAACACCCTTAAGCCAAGTTACAAAAGATTAACATTGTTAACGTAATTTCAATACTGACACCTCTCCAATTTGTGCATTTTAATAAAAAAATGTGAAAAAAAATGACATAGCAGAGAGTCAATTCTGAAACTTCAAATGAAAAACTTTTAGTGGTTTATATTAAAAAAGATAGAGCAGTAAGTTGCAATGTTAGTCTATTAATTAAAGCATGAAGATGTACTGATGTTGGAAACTTTCAATTGTTAGAATTTAATACAAAATAATAACCTTAAGCAACTGAGAAACAGAGCTCTATATAGAACTGAAATCATAAAATTCTTGGTCTCTGTGTGCTCACTTAGTTGGTGTTTTAAAATGAGATTGCTGCCTGGTATGAAGGTTGCAGCCATAATCTACAACTAAATTTGGAAGATGCTTAATGTACTACAAAGTCAGTATATTAATTTACTTTAACGACCATGACTAAGGTTGAGACACAGTATATAGTATGTGCTGTATTATTCTGAATACTTATTATTATTGCATCAAAAACTTCCAGGGTCAGTCAGGTAAGATGAAACCATAATATGTTTAGGCCTTACTCATATGGCTTATCATAATTTGTTCCAACCACTAAAATTATGGATTTATATATTTTGATCCTAAAAGGAATTTACAAAAAAAACAAAAAAAACGTTTTTAATGAACATATACTTTACATAAAGTTTATACACAAACCTTTTTCTTTGCTTTACCACCTTGAGATCCTCCTTCCTTTTTCTTCTTGGCTGTGGCAGCCTTTGGATCTTTTTTTGGTTGTTGCTTAGGGGGCTGTCATGAGTTATTAACCATCTATTATTCACAACTTAATATATGGAACTAAGATTAGTTCTTTATAATTCATCACTGGATACTGCATTAACAAGTTAAATTCAACATGATATAAAATATATTTTATACTGTCCATTTAACATTAAATAATGTATTACTGTAAAACATATTTTTAGAATCAAAGAGTATTCAAAAATAGAAAACATCATGTTTCCAAAATCTTGAATTCTTTATGACATTAAGTGCTAATATATAAAAAGATCATAGAATAAAATGGACCAGTAGCTATTATTAGTGTATTTCTTTACAAAACACTCATATAGGCCCACAAAAGGAAAATTTGTAAGGAAACCAATAAATCTAGGGGTAGAAAGGAGTTCTACCATATATTAACAGTAGACTCTCCATGTGCTATCCAACATAACTGTGATAAAAATAGGAACACTATTCACACTGTAATCACAACAAATCAAACAAGAAAATGAAAATATCGGCACATTAGCAAATACAAAAATGCAGTGTTTACAGGTGGGAAAGCAGTTTTTTGATGAAACAAGAAGACATAAATTCACTTCCAAAGTTCATGGAAAAGTATGTTGAAAGTCATAAAATATAGAATCTAAACAGGAACAACGAATCTGTTGTGAAATAGAGAGTTGAGGAACCCAAACCAACAGCCATTCAAAAGCATATGATGAATGAATTGATAATTCCCACCTATAAAAGTTTCCTTAGTAAAGAACATCAAAGCAACAGCAAAGTAAACAGCAACAAAAAAAGAAGAGAGAGAGAGTAACAAACTGACAATTAAGGGGCAGAACACTTCTAGCTCCACATGGATATTTCAGGACATGTTAACTTCATATACCTTTACAAGGTTATGTTGATCAACATAAATAAACTGTGTACATGAGAATATAAAATACTGAAAGCACTGTCATCATATAATGTAGTACAAGCCAGGAGCACTCAAGCATTAGTTTCTAGATTATCTTACTACATACTTTTTTATGAGATACTATGAGAGCACCAGGCACCGAGATGAGTATATCACATGGGGTTTTACAAATAAAGATGGAAAAGACACTTTAATGTGTACTTATACCTTGTCACTTGATGATAAACTTGTTTTGTGAAATTACATGGTAAAATTAAAGATGTACTTGGAATGAAAGCTGGGAAATTTATTATCGATTCATGTAATGTACAATAACTGATTAACCGAAATTCAAAATTATCTCAATTGTCACAGAAATAAACAAATCAAATTAGTGTTTCCAATTATTCCATCAATTGATTAATCAAAATCTAGAAACTAATCAAAATTATGATTTTGAAATATTATTATTATGTTTAAAGCTAAACATAAAGCTACATAATGTGCTCTGCTATGCCCAGTTTTAGTTTTAAAACTTTTGTTTTTTACTTCAATTATGTTCAGTTGTGATGATTCGGGGTGGGACTTATGATTAAAGTCTCGAGTTCAATTCCATTGTCAACAGACTTACTTGCCTGTCCCATCTTTGTTATTATGACAAAACTGTTAAGGTTATCTGTATTGTTACTAATTTTGAACTACTCACTACAGAAGGTAGCTTTTTGTTTTTACTTGTAAGTACCATAGTTTGATGAACACTGTACTATTTGTGTAATCAGATATCTATTAATGACTGTTGATTACACAATTATGAAATACTAGTAACTTCCCGGCTCTACTAGGATTAGCATATGGTTCACGCTTACACATACTGATAAATCCACAGTAAATGTCATTAGGGAAAGTATACTAACTCACAATATAAAATTTTGCCTTTAGTCAGAATAACAAAAATGACAGTTCGAGGGAACTTGCAATGTTACAATTTAAGCTACAGCACAAGCTAATTAGTATGATGTATTGCAGGAGGAAGTAAAATAATCAAATAGTTTATATTAAAACCTCACAGATAGTAGGAAAGAGGACAATGGAAGCATAATAATAGGGAAATGGGAAAAAAAGGTATATCCTGCAGGTATAAGTGATTATGTATTAGTCACATAGCCAGAGATGGAATTAATAATTAAACATAATTATACAACTGAGTAAGCATTAGTTTCTAAGTTATCTTACTACATACGTTTCATGAGATACTGTGAGAGTACCAGTTTGGAAGGGGCCACATCAGATAATGTATAACAGTTCATCATTAATCTTGGGTTGTTATATCATACAAATGCCAAGAAGGGATTAAAACAATAAAGGTTAAGAGTTTGGCTCTTCCTAAGTCACCCAGAATGAGTGTTGAGAAATGTCATAATATTCCAATAGAAGGACATCTTGGAATTAAAAGAGCTCATAACTCATACACTAAAGTAACATTATGGTGATCTACCTTAAATTGTAGATGTTACAAGGCACATCATGGTAAAGCACACAAATGATTGACAGATTAATTTCCAACTTGTCTCAGTCAGAAAACTTCACTTGTGAAGATCTTCATGTACAAGTATGTCTTACAGAACCTTGTTTCAAAAGTGGAAACCATGTTATTCTGGTTGCTACTAACAACGCTACATACTTTTCAGAATCTTTACCACTACCTTCTGCACATGTATGAAAATGACTGATACTTTTCAGTTACTTTCTGGAATGACCATACTAATAATAATTAGAAACAAACATATTACAAACATTACTTTAGAATTTATGTTGGAACTAATTAACATATTAGCAAATGTGATAGAATACTTGATAACCTTGTGTCAGCAAATGACTGGTATGCCAGTGTTGTAATGTGTTTTATCATTGGGTAGGTTCATTTGGTACATGTAATGATAGTTCCAGTCCACATAGCAATAACAAGTTAATTTAGTTCTAGAATTATGTTTGCTACAGACTATGATCATAGATAATGTTTGAAAAGAAATTCCAAGACACTAATTGATCAATAACAAACATGCTAAATATCTCTCATTGTTTAGCTTACTAATTGAACCACTGCTTCACAGGTTGTTGTGTGTGTGTATATATATATTATACCCTTACTTCTATATAGAGCAGGAAATTTCTAGATTGTAAAGATGCCTTAATTTCTAGATATATTGGATCATCACTATGATTAGCTCCCTCTTGAAAACAAACTTCTATATTAAAATTTGAAAAATATGCTTACAACAATAGAAATAGTGCATAAGAATGCTCCAGTTGGTTGGGAATAATTTTAAATACTTAAGTTTAGAGACAGATAGTATAAAATCTAATGCTAAAGCCACACAAATGCCAAATCTTGGAAGAAAAAAATTACACATTTAGGGAAAAATATTGGTGTTAATGGAAACACAGGAAATAGTTGTTTCCTATGAAACTTTTTTTTGCAAAGGTTGCTGCACTACTGATCTAACTATAACAAAAATTTAACATATTTATCTGGTCACAACTGTCAGCTTGCTTTTGATGAGTTCAGAACTGTTTAATAAACATAGTTTTGCAGAATACACACCCACAAAAACCTCATTTCCTGCAGGTACATGCTAGTACTATTGTAATTAAAGCACAAGTATAGTCAATGCTTAATTTCTCTCAGATTTCTTATAATCTAATATCAGGAAACTGTTTAAGATTTTTTTTAATCTAAAGGCAGAAACACTATAATGTTAAGAACGCCTAGGTTGCACTGAGAGTTGATATTTAACCCTTCTGCTATGGGCCCAATATAATATACACGAGGTATTTATACTACAACTTTTAATGCAGTAAGTGTATCTTCACAAAATTTGGTAGATTTTTTGTAAAGATAAAAAGTATTTCGTATACAAAAAATCAAATTTCTTAATGAAGTATTTTTATTATAGATTTGATTGTGAAAATATCAAGTCTGTTTCATTATCAGTCCAAGTGCAAAGTGATTTTCATGTTATAACTAAAAAACTATTGTTCATCCCAAAAATCTCAAATATTATTTGTGTAATCTCTAAACCCTCCTAAATACATTTCAAACATTTGTTTTCAGTAAAACTATACATTTTTTCTGTTATTTTCTCTACCCTAACTCTATTGGGTCTGTCAATAGAGTAACCACCATAAAAAATTTAGGAAATAAATATAAAACGTGCTTTTTCCCTCCAGAATGACTACAGATAACATGAAAACACAAAAGCATAGTATAAATAGCTTAAATCTCATAACATTATACACTTATATATACATACAGAACTTACAATGATACTATGCACATGCACTTGTGATACCATATCCAATAATATAAAACTGACCTTTAGTCTTCACAAAATGACCTGTCTTGACTGTGTTTTAGTGGACTAGTA